TTCTTTCTTTCTTTCTTTCTTTCTTTCTTTCTTTCTTTCTTTCTTTATTTATTTATTTATTTATTTGGATAGAGGAACACAGAAGAATTACAAATGGAAGATCACATTGTCTGGCCACACTTACCCCTCCCATAACATTATGTGACTGAGGAAAGGTAGTTACATGATAAAAGCCTCATCTGGGAGTACTTACAGTACATCAAGAGAGAATGGATTACACAGAGAGACACACCATTAACAAGACCTAATGCTACAGTCCCCTGTTTTGTACCCTTCAAAACCTTATTAATAGGGAACAGAAAACTGTCAGGCAGTAATTTCTTAATATGGGACTCACTTTGGGTAACAGAAGTTTCTCCCTTCGCATTCCGGACATGGGAAATGTGTGAGTGATTTGCTCTGGCATTGTGTGAAGATGACCCAACTGGTATATTTGACCATAGATCCCCTTTCACACTGAGTCGTTGTCTGAATGAACACACCAAGAAAAAGACTAAAGGATCAGGATTACACCTGCCTCCATCTTCTTATCTCTGATCAAGAATAGGGCAGAAACATGTTACTGTGAACACAGGGCTGGTCATTTCTAAGACTTGGAAAGCTAATGTATTTCGACATCCTTGAAAAACACCCACCACATACTCTCTACTTATCTTGGCAAAATCTGCCAAGCACTTGCTCAACATCTATAAGTCCTAATAATATGTTGGAGGGGAAAAGTGAGCAGGTGTTCAGCTCCCGTCTTGAAAACTATGGAATTTTAAGGCTGCTCTCCTGTGTCAATTTATTTAGCCATAAGTTCCATCCAATTCAAATAGTGATCAGATAAAAACACAAGTATGAGTTAGGTTTAATTTCTCTGAAATTATCTCCGAAACATTTCTAGGCAAATATTTTGAAACTTTTACTTTTTAAGAAAACTTGTCTTACTTCCACAGCATGCTCCAGTCTGCTAGAGACACAGATCTGTGTCACACATACGCATGCATCCATATCTTCCGTTATATACACACTTGCATCCAATATTTTAAAATGCAAATTCTATCCAGAAATTGTCCAATTACACCACCACCCTTGCTCCAAATAGGAATGCTCTCCTATATCTTCTATTAGGGATACAGGAAAGCATGGCATCCGACTTGAAAGCACTTTATATCGTTCTAAATAGACAGGTATGGGACAGCGATGCCAACTCTTACAAAAATCGTAGGCGACTGTTTGTGGAAAGCTACACGGTTTTCTTTGTTCTATATTTTCCCGAAACCTTAGAAAAGACTGCGGATGAGAACTGTGTTATACACACATACATCTGCATCTTCAGATATATATACATGTGCATACACACCAATTTCCTAAATATAAATTCTAGCCACCATCTACCTGGAAACTGTGCCGGTTTACACTCAGACCTATATATCAATATTACTTATACGAAGGAATGATTTTTCGAACCTCATTTGGAAGGAAAGAAATCTAAAGTCGGTTTGTGTTCACCATTAAACTGGTTAGGCGTTGTACAAACGCTGCTTGTGTTTACGGCCTGCAGGATCTCTTTGCTCAGAGATCTCCTCCGGGGGGGGGAGTGGGGGGGAGGATGAGGGCTTTGTTCCCAACGCCCCAGGCACTCGGAAAGGAGAAGAAATGATTGCAACGAAATCAGGGCGACCAAGTCTAGAAGTACCAAGCGGTCGAAGTGTTTTTGCTTTGTTTTGCTTTGGGGTTTTTTTCTGTCGGAAAAAAAGAGTCGGAAGAGGAAGGAGGCGTGGAATCTGGGATCCCTGGATCCAAAATATGGCAGTAGGAATCCGGTGTTTTCGAATCTTCGGCTTCAGGCTGGAATCTTAATGTTGGAATTTGTCTTTAAAATCCCAGCTCTCCGAAGCAAACGGTTCGGTCCAACTCACGAGACGCCTATTGAAGGGCCCGATCCTGTTACATGCTTGGGCGTCGACTTCGCTGAACTCCGATTAACTTCTCGGGAAGTTGAAAGAGGGCCGCTCCGTAAAGAAGCAGGTTTCCTTAAGAAGTACAGTAAAGGGCACCACTGATTCTTTGACCGGCCCCCCGTTGCTTCCCTAAACCTTCGCTTTCTATGCGCCGGGCTCAGGCGGCGTCTGCAGTTTGGGCTGACAGGCTGCCAGTTCCAGTCCCGGGGACTCGCTGCTCCCCTCGTTTTGTCTGAGGATCTAGCAAGGGGGTGGATGAGTCTACGTGAGGCCCGTTCCTTTGGAAACCAGCCCCCCCACCCACACCCCTGCCACTTAAGTATGGGATTTCCTCGGTTACAAGCCCCCCCCGGGGTATAGAATTTCAGCCTTGGACGAGTATCTATTCTGTGTCATTATCCCGGAGCAAACTTCGGTACAACGGGTACGAAAAACAAAACCAGATTGTGGGAGACGCTCAGTGCATGTAAGTGTACTCTGTGTGTGTGCGCGCGAGCGCGCCCGC